TAGCCCATTTGCAATGCCGCCACGATCCCCAGGATGAGCACGAGAGCCCATATCCCGGGCTTGGTGGCCGGGCAGCTATGCGGCGCCTTCGCCGACCCTAGCTCCGCCCAGATCTCCACCTTGGGCATGGGCTGCGGGCAGGAGGAGAAGCAACAACGTTGTTGCGAGTGGGAGGAAGCGAAGAGAGCGCGCCATCGAGTTGGAGTCGAAAGCAAGAGTGGGCTTTGGGCTTCGTTGGCTGTCTGTGCAAGTTGAAGACAAGTTGTAAGCGAGGTCGAGTGCTTATAAATAGGCACAACCACGCGCTCAAGTGCCACTACAGTCTTTTCTCAACAAAAAAAAAGACTGCCACTAAAGGAGACAAAAATAAAGTTAGTTATTTCTTTCATCTACGGAAGAGGACCAAGCTGATTAAGGCACCAACTAGTCATCAACCCGTGCGGGCTGTATACACCGATTGATGCAGAGGCCGGGGGTTTTAACCTCCTTTTCCAGAAAAGAAGTAAACGTGGAAACACATAGTTGGAACTTTAGAGCAATATATTTAGTACATGTTCAAACTTATAAGAACTCAATACATCAGCCCTTAGTTTTTAATGATAAATGGAATGCATTTTAATGTTCCAAAAATATATTTTTTTGGTGGGTGAATGTTTCAAAAATATTACTCCCTCCATTCACAAATATAAGATGTTCTAGCTTTTTTTCAAGTCAGAGACTTTTTGGTGTGTTTGCTCACTTATTTCAGTGTGTATGTAGTCCATATTGAAATATTTAAAATATCTTATATTTGCGAACAAAGGGAGCAGAAGATAATTATAAACCACAATTGGGGCACGATGCACAATGGAAGTAATACCCTCCACGTTATATCTACAACAAATGAAGGGGTATATTATCCCTAAAAAAAATGGAGTATATTTAACAGAAACGACATACCACAAAAGGAGTGATGGTTAAGTGGCTTGAATGCAAATGAAGAAGTCGCCAACAAAATCCGTCCCTCAATTTAAAAATTATATTCTCCTAAAAGAAATTAAAATTATATCATTCATTTTTTTCTGACGTGGAAGTTAAGTGAGGTTGTGTCCTACAACCACTCTTTTTTTGCGGGGTGTCCTACAAACACTCACTCTGCATTCTTATAGAGAAAACATGCACCACCTCGACCTATTGAATACTCCCCTCAGAAGCACACGTGATTTCTTTGTCTATACACACAATATATTTTTACATGGATTAGCCAGAAAAAATGGAATATCAACAATAATGGAATATGTGCTTACATAGGTGGAGACTTGATTTGTACCTGCAAGAGCAGCAACTAATTTGGATATGTAACAAGCATAATCTGAAGTTTGAAACAAACCTAGGATATGTAGGTATCTATATAGTTACAGTTGCACGGAAATTTCATACTTCTTTTTAATATATAAAAACGCCACTAATCTAGAGCCTTGTTGATGTACAAAATTGAAATCCTGTAAATCATATCTTGTACCCCCTCCGTTCCTAAATATTTATCTTTTTAGAGGTTTCAAATGATGACTACATACGGAGCAAAATGAATGAATCTACACTCTAAAATATGTCTATATACATCTGTATGTGGTGACCATTTGAAATCTCTAAAAAGACAAATATTTAGGAACGGAGGGAGTAGAACTCAAGTACTCTATGCAGGCTTAATTAATTTATATGGCAACTGCTCTAAATTCTGATTACCAGAAATGACTATACACTCTATCGACATTGATCAAAGAAATCTAGGAAGATGGTATATGCTACATGTAAAATATTCAGAACCTAGGCATCATTTTTTCGATAAAGAGTGCTTTTTACTGACTCATAGTGTAGCATGATACAATCATAATGAGTACACACCCGGTCTCTGTATAACTATGATGCACACAACCAACACAACACACACATGATCACGCAGGCAAAGCAAAGTCATATAAGACCGAAGCGATCAGGGGCGGATCCACTAAGGGGTATGGGTGTACAGATGTACACCCAAATATTTTTTGCAACAAAAACTGTATATATGTGTCTAATGCATATGTGACAGAAATACTACCCTATAGTTCAGGAGCAGCCCACTAGCCCGACAGAAGTTCAGGAGCAGCCCACTTTTGTCCACGCATTTCTCAACGTCAGGGAGGGTAGCGTTCTAGTGTAGCAATTTACAAACTTCTCAAATTGGTTCTAATCCTGTAAACCTTATCACTGGCATAATACTAGCGGCGTAGGCCCGCAACGCCACTAACTATGTTTTACGAACACCACTAGCAGGCATTTCTGCACTAGTGAAACCAAATCCTTAATTGTTTCATAACACCTATTTTCCTTCTCTATGCGATAAATGGGTCATTTCAGCAACGCACGGGTCATGGTGCAATAATAATGACCGTCTTATTTTTTTCTTTGTTCTTTTATTGTTTTTATTTGTATATTCCCATTCTCTTTTAATCATCTGAAATTTTGTTTCTCATCCTTTATATATTATGTTTAGTTTTCTTGTTATTATTTTCCTAGGTAAATAATGAGTATTTGCATGAGATACATGAGTACTTCTTTTTGAACATGTGCCAAAACATGAACATCTCTTTAAGATACATGAACATTTCCTTCACATGTAAGAATCCTTCCGAAATACTCTTATGGATGTGCATGGACATTTATAGTTACATACGAGAGCATTTATGAAAATACATGTACATTTTCCCATAAATGCAAAGATTTATTTTGATACATGTGGACATTTCTTTTCGCATACAGGAACATTTTTAAAAGCTGGTAGACCCTTTAATAAGTAGACGAAAATTTCTTTTCGTGGAAATGGAAATATTTTAGAGTGCCTTGAAATTTTAATTATTTATTTAAAATATTTTATGAGCATTTTATATTTATCTCATTTCCTACTTTTAGATTATTCTATGTTTTGCCAAAAAAAGTCTAGAAGGCCGAAAATAGCGTGCGTCGGCCCGCGGCCATTCCGGGTGTGGGAAGCCCATGTGAGCGAGGCGCCGCTGCAGAAAGCTCACAGTAGGCCCTCCCCCCGCTCGCCAGACTAGCTAGGGTTTACACTCTGCTCTCCTCTCCTCCGCCATCTCCGAGCGAGGTCTCCCGGCGGCGGGTATTGTCTCCCGGCCGGTCGTGCTCAAGGAAGGTAACGCCGTTTTTCGCTTCTCCTTTCTCCTCTCCTCCTGAGAGACCCCTCCCTCTTCGTTCGTTGGTTCCCCTATTCGATTCGACATGTAGACGTATTTTTTTGATTCGCTTTCTTGATTGATAGGGGAAACCAAACCGGTAGTATCACCCTCACCCTTAAAGTTAGTTAATGTTGTAAACCAAACCTAGTAGAAAGTATGTTTTTTGCCTAGGGTTGCAGAAAATACTAGTAGTATTTCTAGTTGAACAAATTGGCCCTGTGAACTCAACTCATCAGCTGTGGCAAAATGTTTGATTTCCTTACTTTCTTTGTTGCCCAACCAAGAGCCACAAGTACCAACAATTATACGTATATAAGCTCTGATTTTCATGTTCAGATCCAGCGATTAGTAGTGATTCTGCTTGCAGAAATGTTTGCGTCAATCCTAGCTCGTTTCTTTGTATTCTCTTAGCTAGTTCATTATTCAGGCTCTGCTTGCTACTTAATTAGTTAATTATGGTGGTAGATAGTTTAATTTAATTATGTGCCCTGGACCACAATTTTTTCTTTCTAACAATCTAGAGACAGACAAGGTGCTAGCTACTTCAATAAATCTCCATGCTTGTGAAGGAAACACAAGTTTTGGATGGATACAGAAAAATGCTCAAAGTTCATCAGTAGTATATTCTTCGTAATATATATCTCCATCTGTCTTCACATTCATGCAATATATCGTAAGTTTGAGTCCAGCTCTTTTGGTTGTTTTCTGAACCTTGATATATATTACCTGATTGCTACAACTGAATTGAATTTGTTCGATGGAGGACCTACGACAGAGATTCTCAAGAGGATCACCACGACAAGTGATCTGAATTCTCTTTCCCTTGTGTCAAAGCAGCTCTATAAGGTAGAGGGGAATCAGAGGGGTGCTATCCGTGTTGGTTCCCATCTTTGCACTGCTACAGAAGCACTGACATCATTGTGCGCCCGCTTCCCAAATCTGCGGAAAGTGGAAATCGATTACTCTGGTTGGATACCTGGACATGGAAAGCAGTTGGACAACAAAGGCCTTTCTGTGTTTTCATCTCACTGTTCCTCACTGATTGACCTAACCTTAAGCTTCTGCTCATGCATCGATGACTCTGGGCTTGCTTGTTTAGCTTATTGCAAGACACTGGTGTCTCTCAGGCTCAACTCCGCACCAAAAATAACGTCAGTTGGGCTTTTCTCGGTTGCAGTTGGTTGCGGAAGTCTATCTGCTCTCCACCTTATTGATTGCGAGAAAATCAACACTGTAGAGTGGCTGGAATACCTTGGTAGGGATGGATCGTTGGAAGAGCTTGTAGTGAAGAATTGCCAAGGAATCAATCATCATGACTTCCTAAAGTTTGGTTCCGGATGGATGAAGCTCCAGAAGTTTGAGTTTGAGAGTAAAAGAGAAAGATGTGATCGTCTTCCAGGTGATGTGGTCTATGACTCCTCGTACCATGCTCACAGTACGGATAGATATGGTTTCTGCTGTGAGAGTTTGAAGGATTTAAGGTTGGCTCATATTAAAACTTGGCCAGAAGTAGGTCTTCGTCTTGCCTTGAGTATGTTCATGCCCTAAATGACAATGACATTATTGCATTATCTCGGAGCTGCAGCAACCTTAAAAGCATCTCACTTTGGCTCAACCTGCAGCGCTACTCTAGTGATGTCAGCTATTGTGAGACGAGGACGTCATTTACTGATAACAGACTTTACGCTCTAGCCCGAAACTGTCGTATGCTTCAGATGGTAGACCTCAGCTTTATAGGATGTTCCCGTGACTGGCCATCAGAAATAGGATTCACACAAGATGGTTTTCTGGTGCTCATTCAGTCCTGCCCGATTCGTGTTCTTGTGCTAAACACCGCCAACTTCTTTGATGACGAGGGGATGAAGGCCCTCTCATCCTCACCACATCTGGAGACACTCGAGCTTATATTGTGTCATGCAGTAACTGATGCTGGGATGTGCTTCATTGCGCACACCCCATGCTTGAGTAATCTCACACTTCGGTTGTGTCATAACGTTACTGATGTGGGAGTGGCTGAACTGGGACGTGCACATAAGTTAGAGTCTTTGGTTGTTGAGTATTGTGGTGAGGTATCTCTGCAAGCTGTGCAGGGTGTTGCCAAGTCAGTTCACTACAGTGACTATTCAGATTTCTTTATGAAGAAAATTGGTCTTGGCGCCTATTGATGAAGTGGTCTCCAAAATTTCCAGTATGAATTTGCTGCTAAATCCATTAAGTTGTTCAGTGTGGATCATCCGACCCAGATTCACCTCTCTGAACTTTTTGTTGCCCTCTACCTTTACGGCAATGATTTTCCTTTATGACAGTCTATAATGATGAATTCCAGATGACAACTAATTAATGAAACTTTAATAGTAGGCACCACTTGTGTATTATTATCAACCGTAATTCTGGTTGCTTAATTTCTACCCTCTGTAGAGAAACCGGCATAAGTAGGCCACAAGATTCCCTGTTTCTGCTGTGGAGGCACCATATGACCTTTTGGTGTTATTTATATTATTTAAGCAAATGTCATAAACCCTTCTCTCATTGCGTAAGTGATTTAGAAGACATATATCTGCCTGCTATGTTCATGTGCCAATTTTAGTATGGATGAATGTAGTAATAAGTCAAGTTTTGATGCTTGTTTTGTTGATATTGACTCCATTGGAGGGTGTCTTCGATTGCTTCTCAAAAGAATAGTGCTAGTTACTACTCCCTCTGTAAACTAATGTAAGACGTTTTTGAAGTTCAAATTGAACTGCAAAAACGTCTTGTATTAGTGTACAGAGGTAGTAGCATAATTGTGGATGTTTAGATTCCAAAATGACCTGAAATTGAGGAACAACTGAAACTTGAGTGACTACTGAAAGCATATAACATATCCATCACATCATGTCTTTGCTCTGGACATCCAACACTCAAAAACATTTCTTAACTTTTTTAGGGGGTCGCATCTCTTTTTACCTATCAAGAGTATATATGTTGACAACTCGTTGCATCAGTTCAGCTAGTAGGAACAGCATTTGCCTTGTATTTGTAGCTCATCAAGATGCCAACTTTGCTTTGCTGGCTATTTAATTTGTGTTTTTATACTTGAGCTAAAATGAAACATGCGCCTTTCCCTTGCTAAAAAAGGAAGACTAGTTCATTTATTTACATTAGCAATCTGGCAGATGTACAGGAGGTTGCAATTTTTCTTCAGCTTGTGTGGGGTGTGGCCAAGATGCTGCTTGCTTCTAGATGCCTTGAATTTCACAAGATGCAGCCAAACACACAAATTACATTGTTACAAAAGCCCATGAGCTACAGAGTTTGCATCACTGTCTAGGAAAAAATTCAAGGAGTAAATTAATCTGTCATTTTTTCCACAGGAGAAAACAGGAATAGATGGCGACACTGAAGAAGAAAATTTTGGTGTGTCAGATGTTACACGGCAACCAACACATAGTCGGGCTGGTAGACGTACAAAAAGCGCCAGTAACCCACTTGAGTTTGTATTTTCTTCACTTTGTGTGGTCAAGATGCTGCTTGGCTGCACAGGCTTTGAGTTCAAGAAGTTGCAGCCATGGCCTCACATTCGGACACATGACTTCCAACAAGACTTACGGTCCAGCATTTGTGTTAAACAGAATTCAACACCGAAACCTTTATTTCTACCACAGCCGGTGGATAGAATTCAAGCATGGAATTTTCCCGCGATTTGTAGTTGCATTGCATTGCGCCACCCGTCATGAGTCCTTATCTATACTTGGTCTATGTACCAGCTGAGAAGAGAAAAGGGAAACCTTTTAGAGAATAGCTTAAGACATATATAATGAAGCAGTTTTACATGATCAAATAAACAAGGAAGGATACCATCAAAGAAAAACTCTACTGCATTGTTAACTCAAGTCGTTCAGTGCATGAGTTGTTGATGGAGGAGAATTGGGAAATATATGAGCAGGCGTACGCCGTGGGTATTGCTTTCTAGGAATAAGTCCTGTGTCATTTTTCCATAGGAATGAGGAGAGAAAATAGAGGAAGAGATGGCAGACACTGAACAAGGAAAACCGGCGCCCAGCAGCAGTTGCCAAAGGGATGTGTCAGCGTCCCAACAAAGAGCTTGGAACTTCCAGCAGGCAGAGATGGCAACACTGAAGGATAGTCATCCAGTAGCAGCTTAAGACACTGAAACTTTTGTTTTACCATCGGTAGAATCCCACGTTTAATCGTTGCGTTGCACCACAAGTCATGGTTCTGAAAAGCCAATAAGGGAAACATTAGTACTGTAGAGAACAGCTAAAGACAAGCTGCTTCAATTTCTTTAGCGGAATTGCCATACAAGTTACATGACCAAATAAACAAGAAATACTGATGGTGAAGGACTCGAATCATGCAGATACATGTCTTGCACGAATCTTGGAGCAACCGACAGTCTTCTTCACCACAAGCCTCATTCGCAGGGACCTTGATTTTAAGAGTTCGTTCAGACGATGTTGAGGACTGAGGCACTGCTGCTCCCAGCCGAAGCACCCGGACGAAGGACAAGATTGCTGCAGTGCCGGGAATGCAGCTCCCGTGCAGACAATGTTGAGCATGTCAAAAAGAAAAGCCATAGTAATAGTTGAGTTCTTCTGATTATTCTCTGAAGTAAGGAAGCAATAGTAATACACCCTTTAGATTACTCATAGATTACAAAAGGGCATACCTGGGAGTATTGGCGTGTCGGATGCTACACTGCAATCAACACATATGCCGGCAGGCAAACATACAGAAAGCGCCAGTAACCCACTCGAGCTTGGATTTTTGCTTCAATTTGTGTGGTCAAGATGCTGCTTGGCTGTACAGGCTTTGAATTCCACAAGTTGCAGCAACTGCCTCATATTCCGTCGGACACATGACTTCCAACAAGACTTGGTGTCTAGGATTTGTATTAACCAAAATCCAACACAAGCCTTTATTTTTACCGCCGCCGGTGGATAGACTTCCAGCACGGAATTTTTCCACAATTTATAGTTGTGTCCCGACTCCTTGTGCTAAATCTTTTGTTCTACGTACCAGCTGAAAAGCGAAAAGGAAAACATTGGTACTGTGGAGAATAGCTTAAGACAGGTTGCTTCCATTCTTTATGGAATTGCCATAACTGAAGTAGTTACAAGTTACACGATCAAATGAGCAAGAAGTACTGTCAAACCTATCACAGGCCATACCATCTGATAAAAACTCTACTGCAATGTTAACTCGAGTGTATAAGGTGCATAAGCTGTAGATGAAGGGGATCTGGAATATTTTCGGGAATTCTATCCCTGCCGTCAGTTTCTTGGAATAATTACTGTGTCATTTTTTCCGCAGGCATGAGAAAAGAAATAGAGGAATGATCCAAGAAGCAGGCACTTCTATTCTATATTGTCATAAGAACTTTAGGTTTCTTTGATTTTTGCAGAAACAGAAGCAGATTTAATTTAGACAAACTGATTGTCATGCACGGACCTGAAGAGCATACAAGATAAACCTTTATTCACGTGCCAAGAGGTGCATGTCGAATCAAATTTTAGGTGCATAGTATGTTACATATGGATTTGCAAACCTGAATCTTGAGTTCTTTGGCTTGTTGTCGTTTTTATAATTGAATGTATTAGCATATCTCAAAAATTTCATTTATATCATTAAACAGAATAAGCAGTGTCACACAGACCCTCTTGTAAGTAGGTTATCTTCAATAGCGATGATTTAATAGATCTAAGCAGAGTCATTGGTTCTGAAAATTTATCACACGTTACTAGTGTGTTTTTTTTGTTTCAACAGACAGCCGTGTGCCTCTTCCTGGGACGCTGCTCTGTGTGCCTCTTCCAGGGACACTGCTCCGTGTGCCCCTTCCCGGGAAGCTGCTCCTTGTGGTGCCTCTGCCCTGTACGACGCTCTCCGGCTGCTGCTTCGACCCAAGTTCCGACACCATGTAGCTCGTCAAGGTATCATTTCCTCTCTGCTCTATCTCTCTCACTCTTGCATGTTCTGCATGTCCCTCTCATCAATTACCTGGAGATGTTTCTTAATACACCAATTTGTGTGTCTAGTATAAGATTTGAAAAGATGAGATGAGCTCTTGTCTGATTATCCGCACAATTTTTTCTTCTGCTCTGTCTAGTATATTCCTGATTATGTATTCATGCCCGACCCTAACTCTAGCAGCAGCACTAACGGTACGCCATGCCCAATCATGTCCCATGTCTAGCGCTAGCAATTGCATAGCTTCCAGTGCAAGACTGCAATTTTTTTGTGGTTGTTATACATAATACAGATTTGCTTTTCCTAAAACCACATGGTACTAGTTGTATACCACACAAGGGAAAGAATTTCAGTATTAGAATTTTTTATGTTTGAAACAATATTGCTTTCCTCTGTTTAGTTCAATGTTTTATTTCTATCTATGCGACTGAATATTTGACATTGGTTAATATGTCTTGGGTTAGCATTTTGAACTACTTCCTTTTGCAGTTGGTGCTAGGTGCAGAACCCAAATTTTTATTCACAAATTTGTACCTTCCTAAGCTCGTTTGTGCTACTACATGCCTGTTTAAGCTATCCATTTCTTTTTCTCCGCTTTACTTGTCTTTTTGCAGCTTTGAAACTTTAAAGTCTGCCATGAGTTTGAGTTGGGTTCAGAATTGCTTCCAGTAGGTTTGCATGTAGGATTTTATTTTTGGCTCGGATGAAATTCCAGGGTTCGATGGTCTGTGTGGAGCTGATGATGCAAACACGAACATCCATCAAAAGCTTGTTGCTGTCAGCAACAAGAGTATGTATACGCCATATAACTCTTGGTTATTCCTGCCATGGCTACTTAGGTGGCTTTGCTGGACTCACTTGGCTTGGTAAATAATACTCTAGTGGTTGTATGTTACCTAGTTACTAAACCAGTGAATTTTCCTCTGGCTTTGTTCTAGAAAGATAAACAAGCCTCTGTTCTTGCCAAGTTAATTACCCGGCATCTTTTCATGTTACATTTGGCTTGGTAAATTCCGTGGAACACCGTGGACAGGGAAAAATTAGGCTGTTCTTGTTTTGTTGCTTATAATCTTCATGTGATTTTCTTTCTTTCTTTTTCCCACTTGATTGCAGATTTTGGGCAGCTGGAGCCATGCTCCATGGACGAGGAGGATGACCGGGACCCCAAGCCCAAGCCAACGAGCACGACGAGGTAATCGTCGAGTCCGGGGACCTTGACCTCGACTCCCCACATAAGGTCTTGGCTCTGCTCTTCTCGACTATGAAGTTCTTCCTCCAATTTTTGTTTATATTTTTTTAGTGGATATACAATATAATTCTTGTGTTATGAAGTTCATTTCTGAACCAAAGTACTATGAGCTAAAATACGGTATCTATGCTCATATATGATTGTATTTCTTTTCTGGTTATGAAACCAAACTAGCATAGTGAGGTCCATTTTGTCTTTGTCTGGTCCACCCAAACTGAAACAAAAATCCATTTACCGAATGTAATCTAGGTGGCTGGTGCTTTATTTCTTGCTTGTTCATTAGCTATTGTGTTGATAACTTTTGTTGTTTTCCAAAGTCGAAATTGCCAGCAGAATTAATGTTGCTTGGCATAGTAGTCCGCCCCTTGTGGCATCTAATTAATGGAGAAATTTTGGACTTTGATTTCCGGTCCTAGTTGGCTGTATTGACCCGTCTGGTATTGCTGTGAATTTGCATATATGGCTGTCACTTGTAAATTCTCTCTAGATTGATCAATAGAGTAAAACAAGAACTCACTATTTACCTGTCTGGTGTCTTATGCATTTCCTATCTAAAGTCTAGGATTTGTCATGTGTTAAACTTTGCTTGACTTGTTGCATGTGTTGCGCTTCAGATGCAAATGCACGGCAGCGAGAGATTGATGATGTCGACGTCGTTACCCCCAAAAGTTGCAAGGTGTCGAAGTGCTGAGAGGTGGAAGCATTATTGTGTAAAAAGGCAAGATGAGGCGGACTTGTGTTTTTCTTTGTTGGCTGGTAGCTGTGGACGTGTACTAAATGAAATGGCTGGTGATAGTTGTTCTTGTACACAAGATAAAATGGCTTTGGTTTCTTGGTTTCATGGCTTTGTTGGATGGTAGCTGTGGAAGTGAGCTCAAGTGTTGAATATTGATGTCTGTCATCTTGTTCATGTTGTTCCCAGTCACTACTTAAAGCAATAAACTCCTGAGGGATTGAAACTTGCCACTGCAAATTTATCAAATGTGCCTTCAAGTTGTTCAATCAGGATGAGCAACATTTCAAACTGAATGTGCATAATGTTTTGTCGCTCATGAATTTCAGAATCAACATGCATGTAGCTGGTGTCTACTTGTATGCACCACTGGAATCAGTCTAGATCAGTGTCAGTTGTGAGGAGATGTAATCTAGGTTTATCTACAGGCCCCATTTGTATCTAAAATGATGTGCCTTGACATACATTGGATTGACCATGATTTGTAAACAGAAACTCATGTTTCATAGTTACTGATAATTGTAGTGCGCAATGCTTGTATTTGATTGGAAATGAATATAGGCTCTAGTGCCTTTCTTTTTTATTACAATTTGAAGGAAAATGAAATGACAGAGCAGCAACGGGAGAGATCAAACAAGATGACAAGTGAGTGGCATGAGAATGTTGGTCTGAATATTCCAAAAATGTGGACTTAGGACCCTTTGAATGTTTACATTTTGGTTGGACATGGCATGGCAGCCATATGCATGCACTTGGAGGCTCTCAACTACTCCCTCCGTTTCATATTAGTTGTCGCTCAAACGGATGTATCTAGCACTAAAATACGTCTAGATACATCCGTTTCAGCGACAACTAATATGGAACGGAGGGAGTACACGAGATGTGTTTGAGGTGCTACAGTTTAATTAGACCGGCTCATTTCTGGTTTCTTAGATCTTTTCTTTTTGAGGATCAGGTTTCTTAGATCTGTAATGTCTGTTTTAGTACTGTCCTCTAAATGTTTTAGTATTGCCCTCTAAATCGACATATTTTACTAGTTCTGTTTCTTGATAATTATCATTTGGAACAAAGCTTCATTTAATCATTTTCAAATACAAAGCTTTCCCTCCATCCATTCATCTGTCACGTGCCAGCTTACTCATCCGCATGCATGGGTCCTCTAGCCGCGTAATAATTGCCTTTCCTGAAAACGCAACAAAGCGGATCGTCATCATCGTATCATTAAGTGCCCTAGGGATGCCCACATGACATCCAATCTTGCGCCACCTCACCGATCAGCAGCACCGCGGCCTCCTTTGTTCTTATCTCCACCATGCTTTCTTCTAAGACCATCTCTATATATACCAGAAAGGGTCATCCATCCGCGTATGACTTAAGACTTGGGCGACGGCGAGAAGATGAGAGGAGGCGAGGGATGGCGGACCCATGGAGCATGATGGTCTCCCTTGGCCGGTAGTGAGGTGCAAACGAAGCGCTGGCGCAGCAGCAGCGCCATTGTAGGCCGACGCCGGTTCTCTCGTCGCCGGCGTGGCCGCGTGGTAAGGAAGGAACGAGGCAAAAAGATGTGCCCCCAAGGGGTATTGTAGTTGACTGGAAAAGGAAAAAGGAAAGATTAATTCATGAGGATGGATGCGCGAGAAAGTGAGTCGCCGGAATCGATGCTCAATCCGGTGGCACGGCACTGACCGGATGAGAAGGAGAATGAAAAGGGAAGATCCCGGCCGTGCGGGGGAGGCGCGAGGCCGCCATGGAGGAGGAGGAACTGCACGAGACTCGGGAATATCGTTGTCGCCGCACAATGGACCTCACCATGTCCATGAAGCGGGATCTGCAGATCCAGGCAAACCCCGTCCCATTACCAGATACTCTATCGCTACTTCATCCCCCTTGTGTTGTTGTGCATCATACTCCCTCCGTTTCTTTTTAGTCTGCATATAAGATTTGGTCAAAATCAAACTTTGTCAACTTTGACTAAGTTTATACAAAAAAATATCAAGATTCACAATATGAAATCAATATTGTTAGATGCATCATGAAATTAATTTTCATACCATATAGTTTTAGTATCGTAGATGTTGATATTTTTTCAAACAAAGTTGGTCAAAGTTTACAAAGTTTGATTTTGACCAAATCTTATATGTAGACTAAAAAGAAACGGAGAGAGTATAAATAAGTTACATAAGGTAAACAAGCAGTAGAATCTCTTTTTTTAATGGATTGCTTTCTTCTAGTGTCTGCATAATTAACTCATGGTCATGCATGATGCAGTAGTTGCAAGTATACCAATTGGCAATTGCTCGATCAGTGGCTAAAACGGCAAGGCCATCCTCTGAACAAGGCACCAAAATAATGCGATATTCACGGCCATTCCTTGCGGAGGTACAACATAAAATTCAGAAACTGGAATACCTGTACTGCTAGATAAACCGACCAGTGTAGCAGGCGTTTCTACTTTCTAGCCTATCTAGCAGACTAGCACCCCTTATAATTTTTTTTACTTCACTAATACAAATGCCCGTGCGTTGCAACCAAAGGCATTGTTACTTGTCGTGCCTTCACCTATTTTACTATGCTCTTTTTTAGGAAAAAATATGTCCAGTTTGATTGATGAGCACGTTAAATATAGTCATAGTCACTTTTTCTTAGGCTAGCCATAGTCGGGGTAACTTAGGTAGTAACTTAACACATTCCAAGACAATTTTACTTATATGGCAAGTATTTAATAAGGAAAAAGGTGCATGTGGTAAGATAAGGCTGGTTGTAATGGGGAGTATCATATACTAGTATCATGCATATGATACTAGTATATGATACTACCTCCGTAATGCATAGTATCATAAGTTAGTATCTTAGATAGCTTTATTAATTGCCATGCATGACACAAAATAGTACACCATTTAATATGGTACAATATCATGATATGATACCACATCCACTCTTTTTCTCATTTAATTGTGTGTTATATCATCCAAAAAGTCTAGTTGGCATGCATGATACCGCTTATGATACTCCTATTACGACCAGCCTAATATGTTACTGTAACATAGCGTTTTCAGAGGTAAAATGAGTCTATAAGCTAATAAATGAAGCAATCTATCACTACTAGGGAAAAACTTATAGGCAGATGCTTACTAGTAGCGCGGGTTTATAACCCTCGTTGCTGCTACTTACTAGCAGCGTGGGTTTTTACCCCTCGCTACTACTAAGTTGATACTAGTAGCGCGGATTTTTAACCCGCGCTACTACTAAGCGGTCTCTACCGTGCCCTCCCGGGACATGCCATAGTAGTAGCGAGGGGTACAAACCCGCGCTACTACTAAGTTGATAGTAGTAGCGCGGTTTTATACCCCTCGCTACTACTAAGTACGAGGTAGGTGAAATCCCCATATCCTCGGCCGAATCCCTCCTCTCTCCCTCAGCTTTCCCCTCTCTCACTTTCCTCCTCTCTCCCTCGTACTCCAGCGGTGGCCGCCGCTGGTACACTCTGCTTTCTTCCTCCCTCCCTCTCCGAGATCCCTCCGGTGGGAGGTCGCCGGAGCTCCTCGCCGCCGCCAAGATGCGGAAGCACGACCTCGGCATCCTCCTCCTCACCACCTTCGCCGTCTTCTTCTCGCTCCAGGTCAGCCCTCCTCCTCCCCCTTCTCCGATTCGATCCGGAACCCTAGCTGACCCACCCCTCCTCCTCCGACAGCACGAGGGCCGCCGCGAGGTGCTGCTCCCCACACACGACGCCAAGATCCAGGTCCTCCAGCTCCCGGCCAATGCCGGGCTGGCCTCCGCGGCCTCCACGAGGCGCGCGTCATGGCCGAGATCTCCCTGCTCCCGGCCAACGTGCGCGTCGCCGCCGGCCGCCGCCCCGTCGCCATGGATGTCGGCGCCGTCGAACGAACCATTGACACCATTGACAGCACGCACGGGGTCGAGATTTTTTTTGTTTCTCAAATTAATAGTAGTAGCGCGGGTCACAGACATGCGCTACAGATAGTTAGTAGTGGTAGTGCGGGATGCACCGCGCTACTACTACTAGTTAGCTGTAACGCCGTAGTAGTAGCGCAGGCGCCCGCGCTATTACTAGCTTTTAACCCGCGCTACTACTAGGCTTTTTCCTAGTAGTGTATGACACTATTATTATGTTACTTTTCATTATGGAGGTTGTAACTTAGACTAGTGTTATATGCATGACACTGGTATAAGTTACTCCCCACTATGACCAG